CTTCTGTGCTATTTCTTCGAGGAACCATTTTCGAGAGTTCGCATACATTTCACTCTCAGCACGTGCACGCTCTCGTTCCGCCTGGAAAGGTAGCATTAGCCTGTATAGAAAAATTTCAAGGGAAAAAAGGCAAAATTCAATGTGATTACCGAAAGTGTACGCATTTCTTGATCTATGCTACTCTTTTCTTGCATCAAAACCGCTTTCTCATTTAGTGCCTTCTGGAGCTCGTCCTTCAGGGCGAAGTTCTCAGCTGAAGAGGGAAAGAGTTATCTCTCATCTTTCGACATTTGCCCGCAGAACACCGTTGTCCAAATGGGGCTACTCACTTGCTATGAGGTGTTTCTCCTTAGTGAGAGTACGGATGGCGTTATCTCGTTCTTCCTTCTCGTGCTTCAACCGCTCCAGGTCACAATCAACTGTCATCTAAAAAAGGTTAACCATCTACTCAGCGGCTGGCTGAATCCGAAAACGGCGAAATAGGAGGTGTTTACAAAGGGTTTGTTCCTAAGGGTTGAATCAGGTACCAAGCAGGGCTAAGTAAGCTCTAACAATGAGGGGACACGTTCGAACTCACTCTGAGAACTCAATGAGGGGACACTCTAGATAATTGCTTTAAGCGGGACTGACCTTCAAATCCTATTCAACCAACAGTGCACCACGTCCTAATGGCGAACACAACGAAACGAACTAACTCAGTCGCAAAAGTGCAACCATCGAGGATATGGGGGAGCTCTTATTACTGCTTATCCAACCAATGAAATAAGTACTCTGGTTACATTTACCCTCCCCGACCAAGTAAACTGACTTGGATAAAAGATAACCTTTTTCATAGCGAGTTCGTTCCTTGAAGCTTCGAGCTGTCGATATAGACGTGATCGTTCATTAGCATCCTCCACTGAAACAGTTATGTTGAGCACTGCTTACCCATTCCCAGCCCATTCTTCAGAATATAGGATCCATTTTGACCGGATTCATTCCCAGGGGAAGATTCTGCTACATTATCTCCAGGGTAGTCTGAGTCCCTGAACACGAATACCACACCCACTTGGCAATCGACGAACTCTTCTGAATGCCTGGCGAGCGCTAGAGCACAACTTCAGTAACGCAGTCACCAAGCATTCTATCATCGAATGCGATATTCGTATTTTGACGGATTCAACACCCCGCTCGACAAGTATTCAGCGAGTTTGGCAAATTGCCTGAGCGCCACGCTCTGGCGCGAGGAGACAGTCGTTTTTCGAGTCGAACAGCTGTGAAGTTCAGATGACAAAACTCCCCTCGGGTCGGAACGCTTCTCTCTGGGGAAAATTTCGGTCAAACTACGGACTTAGTTTCGATGAGTACGCCACTAGAGGGAGAACCCAAATGTTGCAAAATGGGTGTTTGACTGGTATAAAAATATAAGGCTATTTGAGAGTAGAGTCTGACTACTTACTGGCGATTGTGACTGCAGTTCACATTCTGGAAGCCAGTTCTCTACACTTCTCCTTGATGTCGAGCAGCTCCTCTTCGATATTGCTTTTTGCATGTCCTAGTAAAATTATAAGCTGAAGCCATACAGTCAAGGGCAGACTACAACAACAAAACTTACGGAGAGCAACTATTTCACTGAGCAAGCTTTGTACGTCCGAATGGTCTTCACCAGCGGGCGCATCTGATGAACTTCCTTCCATAGGCACGTCTTCCACTACATGAACAACTGCAGGGTTTTCAGCCGAGCCTGAAAATGCTCGAAATCAGCCGGAAATCGTCCATGTACCAAAGACATGCTGTTGTCTCTTTTAAATAGATTAGTTTTTATGGTTGTAATGTGGGGATATAATAGACCCATAGACAGCTGAATAAGGGAAAATTCAGAGCAGCTATAGCATGACCGTGAAAAGCTGACCGCTGGTTTCATGAAGAACTTCTACCGATCCGTCTCCTGCAGAAACCGATGTAGCAACTGTAGGCTTCACTTCTGCCGCCATACTGTCCGCATCAGCGACTTCATCCAAAAGATGGCTTGGATCCATCCCTAGTAAAGTAAGTACCTATAAAGAAGAATCATACAGCAAAATGGCTAATAGACAGCAACCTGGTAAGGCTCTAAACGTAGTTAAATCACCGCTATTCGATCCAAACATGTATGAGTCAAATGCGATTTGGAAACCAGTTTGCATAGCTCTCCTTCATAACACCCTCTGAGCCACTAACCCCTCCCTCTATCACCAAGACTACTTGAGAAATACTTGACTGAATTTCCAATGATTGAGAGTCGAAGAAAATGAATAACCCGCAAAATCTTGTCATCTGTTAGGAAAGTCTGAAGGTTTTTCCGATGGTAGGCTCATTTATGTAAGGTAGAAAAAGAACTCTGCTGTTGTATAACAAAGCTGGACTAACTCTAGAATACGAACAAGAAAAGAAGACAACTAGAAGCGCCGGCGCAACTTTTTACAAATTTTACTACTGACGACGATCGCGCGCGTCTCCATGGTCCACGAAGTAGCCGCGGAGCGCGGAAGTGGAGACGTTCTGATATGGCGTGGGAACGATCGAGCTCTGATGGGCTTCCGGGTTTTTTTTCGGGTGGATATCTTGGAATTCTGATGCGCGAGCGATTTCTTTCTGGGGTCTTAATACTTTCTTTGGCTTATCTGTTCATCTGACCAATTGATAATGCGTTTCTGTTTTTTGAAAGAGACAAATTTTAGTAGCTCGTCGTACTTGGAGCTATTTTTCACATTGTGAACTTTATACTCTGACAGGGCCACATCTTTCATCCCTTTACCCATCGCACAATTCCATCGAATATTCAAGTTATTATGCAAAAAAAATAAAGACTTAACTTCGTTCGATAACTCCATAATTTTCCATCGTTCCTGTTACCGATAGATGAATGATGATAGTCCCTGGTGTATAATGTTCTAAGAGGACGAGTTGTCGCGCTCTCCGTGCGTGGAATGTGGAATTGCGTTTGGATCTCCTTCTTATGTAATCAGTCAGTTATAGATGGTTCTTCTACGGAATGCCATGAAAGTAGCAGCATGCGTCTCAGGTTGTGCCGTTGCTGCCAAATTTTGGGATGACGGAACTTTTTGGAAGGCGTATGCTGCCACTGCCACCGCTCAAGCAAAAACCTTTGACGAGCATTTCCCTCGAGGAACATGGGACGACAACTGGGACTAGTGAGTTGCTCTGCTTTCCAAAACACTAACTCAGAACTATTTTGCTTCACAGTTTGTACAACTTTCATATTAATTACTGATCATTTTTGAGTTCATGCTGAATAGTATAGACCTTCCCCGTCCTTTCAGCATTCAAGTTCATATGGTCAGGCAAGACAGCTCGTCTCATCGTGTGCCGTGCTAGTGGGCGTGGCTTCGCTCGCCACGCCCACTAGCACGGCACATTACGACTTGTCTTGCCACATGCCCACGAGACTAAGCACTCATGTATCTGGAAAACGATCATTCGGACTGCTCTATGAGGGCAGCCAGGCCGCATTCACACTTTGGGAGTGAGGAGAATTCACCATGTGGGCGAATCGGTTGAGTCGGGAGATGGGAACTGATTGACTATGCGCGCTGGCGGTTAGCGCGTTTTCTCGTTTCGCGCGATCTCGCCCTTTTTTGATCGAAGCATACACTTTCATTCGTGGCCGACTGGCGTGAATCGTGTATTCTCCCAAGTCCCGCTCTTCTCTTTCGCAGAGTATGAACGCGACTTACGTTCCGGTTTCTACCACTCCACTAGAACGTATTGACCCGTCCTTTTATGAAGTAGTACTACTTTTTGGTGCCGAGTGAGATTTTTCTGGCGTGACCTCGCCTTGTTTTGGACGGCACTAGTCGTCAGCAGGACCCCAATCTCGCGAACAGTTCTATTTTTCGCAAGGAAGGACAGAAGGTACTTAGTTAGTTCGGAGGGCCAATATCTAGTTTCATCAGAACGCAGATCCCGCAGGTTAGGGTCCTCACGGCTTGGTTTCGCGCAGCGTAGTCGCGCCGCCGCGTTACTCCTGGAACTACATTAGCGCTGCGCAGAGTAGATGTGTTTGTTGGTATTGCTTGTCATGAAGAGGTTCAGTCTTTTTCGCTGCGGATGGAGGGGCGTGTCAGGCGGGATGGGTTTGGCGCGGCGCCGAACACGTTTTCCACCAGTTGTTGAGGCGGGCAAATGGCAAGACTATCATATCGTTCGTATCAGTCGTTTTCCACCAATCACCGTCCCTCACCTGCTTCAACAACTGGAAGAGAACTGGGGCGAGCCAAGCCAGCCTTCTGACACGCCCCATCATCCGCTGCGAAGATGACTATACCTTCGTTGAAGAAAGTATTCTTTTGAAGAGTAAGCAATTAGATTTGTTCCAGCCGGTCTCCTTCGTTTCTGCTAAATGCAAAGAAATACGCAGAGGCAAATGAAGCCGAGAAGAAGAAAATGGATGAGGAGGTAAAAGCAAAAGCCACCAGGAACATATTTCTGATACGTCATGGTCAATATTTCATGGACTCCGAAAAGAAGAATCTTACTCCATTGGGTGAGTTTGTCATGACTCCGGTTGTGGTCATCATCAGTGTGAGCACGGGCGCGTTACTATTCCGAGTACAGTCGTGAATAGGCTCGAAGTATCAGCTAGCGTTGTTGCTACATAGCAGGCTAGGTCACGGCTCCGTGCACAACCTGAGAGTGGAGTGTACACACTCCGTGAGTCTGATGCCCTGCCCCTTTTTCATTGCCTGTTAAGGGAAAGAACAAGCAGCACTCCTTGGAAAACGTCTTGCTACTTCTGGAATGAAGTTCGACAGCCTGGTGATGTCTACGATGGTGAGAGCTACTGAAACAGCAGAGATTATTCTAGAACAAATGCCAGAATTGAAGAGGTAGGTGTTTTCATGCCGCGTTCATACTTGGCAACAGGAGATTTGGTGAACTGGAACATTCGGCGACTTTAAGAGATAGTTCGATCGAGAAAGTCTAGGTATTGATCTGGCGACTGTGGAGATCGAGCGATCCGACGATTTTGGAGACTCGGCGTTTCCGGCGATTGCGCGGCCAGGGGGCGGATGTTTATCGATCGGCGCCGGTCGCTAGTGAATGCGACGATTCACCGAGTCTCCTTTCGCCTGATCGCTCAATCTCCATACTCAGCAGACCTATACTTACACTTGTTTCATCTCACTATCTCCCAAATTGCCGGATCTACTGAATCGCTGAGTCTCCTCCGCAGAGTATAAGCGCGACCTCAATTTTTGAAGACGTCATTCGTGAAATGTTTGCTAAATAAATGTAATCCTTTTGAGAACGTCTTGTTCTCTGATCGAGGAAGGCCCACCATATCCACCTATTCCTGCTGTAGATCACTGGAAACCGCCTCATTCTGTGAGTTTTTAATAGGTTTTCATCAACTACGTATTACCCTATGTGCACTTCGAATTTCGTTTTCTTGAATCGTTTTTGAGGAGTTCTTCGCCGAAGGAGCCAGAATAGAGTCAGCGTTCCGGCGGCACATTCACCGAGCTCCACCCTCACAAAAGGAAGATTCTTATGAAATCATTGTATGCCACGCAAATGTTATCCGATACTTCGTATGCCGGTATGTCGTCTGACAGCGATATTCTTTAGTTGGCAGTAGTCTTATTGAGGGATGGGAGGGGTGGGAACAGTAATATTAGCGATACTTGAGTGAGCTTTCCGAAGTTGTTTCATTATGATAACTGCTGTTTAACGCCGCAGTTCGCGTTCCGAAAGTTATCACAAGAATGCTGAGTTGTGGGCAAAAGTCGTGCCCCAGGCGGGAGTCGAACCCGCACCTCACGCTTTCCGGGCGAGTGCGCTATCCGTTACGCCACCAGGGCCGCTCTTACCCTCTCACCATCAGCTTCACGGCTTACATGCAGTAACCTTTCGGCACTCGCAGGTGAGCCGTCTCGTTAGATGTCGGCAAAGAGAGGCGAGGCTGAGGTTTTACAAGTTTTTTGTTGTTTATAGTGATAACTGCTGTGAGGCGGAGGTGGTGTAGTGACAAGTGGCGCGCTTACCACTCGCGCGGCGCCGGGTTCGAATCCCGGGTCGACTCCCGCCCAGGCCAACCAAGCCTTCTACCCTCCGGGGACGGTAATTGGTACCAGATTCGTCTGGGAGGATAAAACACTGACTTGTACATCGGCTGGCCACCGCAAGTCATTGTATAGGCCACATCGCATTCAATAAGCCACTACGATTCTGAATGGAAGTAGAATGCGTGCCGCATCCCACAAAGGGATTGATCAACGGCGAAGACTTTATCCTTTAAATTGCTGTTACCGTTCATGTTTCATTTTATGTTTAGCGCAGTGTGAGGTGCAGGTTCGACTCCTATGTGGGGTCGAGACTGCTGCCCATAATTCAGCATTCTTGTGATAGTTTTTTGAAGTAAGCATAACTAGCTGTTGATGCTAATTGATTGCCACGATTTTTGAGATTTTTCCATTCCCGCTCAGAAGCGCAACGTTCACCTTTTTCAATGTTTTTTGTGCTTATTAAAAACAATGTTGCTAATTTCCATTGGCCCAAATCTGTTTCCACTATGTTCCTTTTTCGAAAGAAGCTCTCTGACCTGGGACAACAAGGCATTATTTACCATTTCTGAATAGCCTGAATTTCGAAATGCGTCGCTTGAAAATCGGCACTTCTAGCTCTTCAAGGAAATTTGTCCTCCTGGATCGATTTGGCCATGAATTTGTTGCCTAGGAAGGTTATCTCACTGAACATCAGTATGAAATCATTTTGGTAGGAAATGCCACGGCGCTGCGCCGCTGCACCTCAAGTGGACTACACGATCGTCTAGGGGGCTGCTGTCACCAGGGGAAGCGCCAGGTGTCGAGCATTTACATTCGCGCTAACCAGAAGTGATGATGAGGTTAAGGAGGCTAATTAGTCATAAGACCAGTGAACTTTCTCAACGATTTAAGTGATCAGAGGTGTTTTGCTTAGCAGTGGGCGCCTTGGACGAGCTTGTCGGCAAGCCCAAACATCAGGATACGACGTGAAACCACTTCTAGGCAAGAGCACAGGAAATCACCCTACGACGCTCCAGGCAACGCTATGTACACACGCAATTCCGCTTGTAAGCCGTTGTCTTGCAGAGTGAAAGTAATCGTGGTTGCAATGGTTGCAATAATCACGCGTCTCTAGCTTCTTTATCTCGCCGTTTCGAGTGACGAAAGTGGTATACACTCTGCGAAACCACTTGGTCGCGGAAACTGTCTTTAATGGGTCAGATAGCTCACAGGGGAATTTTTTTAGAAAGTATAGATTACGACCCAAACTCCACAAAATGATGCAGCGGGAGGGTAGGTAATGCTGTTGTAGTTCGCTTTGTAAGGAAAATGGGGAGGTTCCAGGAAGGGTGACCTGAAACAAACATTAGATCCGGTCTTCGACGGGATATGACCTTTACGTTGACCTTTATATCTTTTTAGACGATTTTTTTTGGAAATCGCTTCTTATGAGACTTCATCAAGGATTTCACGAAGATTATCCTTTGTTAATGTTTTATGCTTTTCAATTCACTGTGTTTCAGAGCACTGCAATTTCCACCGGAAGGATGGCTGCGAATGTCTCTCGGAAACTGCAGTATCACTTGGCTAGTTATTCGACCATCAGGACGCGTTAGTCTGCGTAGTTTAGGAGATATTGGACATCTCCCTCCATCGAAGGTGTCTTTCACATAATGCTCAAATTAAATGTGTCATATTTGTGTTGTTAAGTAGGTTAAGACGTTGTACTTGGTCTCATTGCCAACCCTTAATATTTTCGCACTTGAAGTTTCGAATTTCATTTTTTGTGAATTCTTTGAGGAGCTCGAACAGTGAAACCGTGCAAAAACCAAACATGGATACAGGGGAATTTGAGCATTGCTTGTTATTTAGTTGTTAACCTATCGAATTTGCGCGTTGCTAGTATTTATTAATAATTACTTAAGTCATGGTCTTTTTGCTTAATGTGACCTCTATGTCTAAAACTGATAAGAGCAAGCTTACTAAGTCAGTTGTTGAAAGTGAATGACTCAAAGGGTT